ATTTATCATTATGGTTATGGAAAGTGGAACTTTAAAGATGGCTTGAACCTACCTTGCTTACCGCCTATTCCCAAGCAACATATAAAACTGAGTTATATTAGTTACATTCACATAAGTACTTATTGTAAAGATTTTTTTAACAATAAATTATTATTTTACATCCTGATAAACAAAAATTCTAATGAAGCGGCTATCGTCAATTTCCACTATTAACTATAGGGTAGAATTCCTTTCATTCCTTGTATTCCTTTCCATTTAAGCTCGTTATAAACTTCAATTTAATTTGTTAATGAAATATAAAACAGGTCTTTCAAATACTTAAGTAACCGTTGTTTACTATTTACTCTGTTATTTAATATTAGTCACCGTGTTTCACTATTCAACGCGGATTTAGTATTCAAAGCCGAAAATCCAATTTATTCAGTTTCAATCATTGTACAGGCATGATTGATTCTATGTGGGAATCGTTTCAGTTATCATTTGCTTTGTTTATCAAAATCAATAGGTACTCAATACTTTGTTACGTACCATAATACACACATACAAGGTGGTAGGTAACATAAATTAAGTTCATTATGAACCCAGTAAAGGCACATAAATGACAAAATATGAATAAATTAAACTATATCTAATACAATTCTATTTACTAAACCCTTAGGATTATTACAGATACATTCTTTCTTGTGTATTTGTTGAAAAAAAAATTAATAATATATGTAATAATCATTTATATTAATTTTTCTTTTACAATAAGAAAATTTATTAAACATATCTGTATTATGTATGAAGTATATATTATGTATGTTATTATTTGGACATGCTCCTATCACGTAAGTATTCGTGTAGTGTATAGTAAATTTTAGTCACTAAATATGTTTTTAATGCTTCAATAAGTTTTGTTCCGCTTGTTTCTGTTTTTATTATTTGTGGTAATTTGTTATAAATTTTAATTCAGATAAGAAACAGATTAGACGAATGCAATGTTATCGCGAGTCTGATGGTATTAATCTGTCTTTGTGTCGGAAGGAATCTTTAGTCGCAATATCTTCTAGCTTTGTAAATAAATTTAATTTTTTTCGGACGAACTTACGTATTTCCACGATGCACTACACATATATACAGTAAAAGATACACGGTAAAGTAAAAATTTTGTGCTGTTGGAAGAAAGGTTTACAACTGTCAGTCTGTTTTATGTTTACGAGAATTCTTAGAATCTTTTTTGAAGAGTGAACAGGATTGATGTTTTTGTACTGTTACCCCACAGGATGACACCGTAGCTTAGCCAATTAGCAATGGTCAGTGCTGTTTGTATGTTTGTGGTTTTATTTTTATTTCATTGAGTGCATACGCGAAACTGTATATTCTACTACTTATTTTATTAATGTACGCTTTCTAATTGCTGTTTGTGTCAGTAACTATAACCAGCAAAGTGAAGTGACTGACTTTTTGTACATATATGTTATTGAATTTGAAATTTATGTTTATCGGTTGTTTTGGTGTGAATGGAATGTTGGATAATGGAGTTCTTTTCAAATTTATTTCTAAGTTGTATTCCTCTATCCAGTTTGATATTCTTTCAAGAACAGAATTGAGCTTTAAGTTTAAAATTGTATTGTTCTAACATGAGGTGAGTATGGAGATGTCATCTGCGAATAGTACAAATCGTCGCACGCATTTTCACATAGTTCGTTCTTATTGATTTTTGTTGGAGAAAAATTTATAAACTTCTTGCTCAAATATATTATTAAAGTAATATAGTATATTAAAGAGGTATAATTTGATTAACTAGAATGCTAACTACAAATATTATTGCGTTTACTACATTTTATCATCACATTCACATTTTTATAGTCGTCCAGAAAAATTACATGGAAATCGCATACGAGGCATTCACTTTAAGACGACGAAATGTCTCGTTTATTACTTTTGGAAGGTCATTGATGTATATTAGAAATAAAAGACACGCGTTGACACATCCTTGGCTAATGGAAGCATTGGTCTAACGCACCTATATCATTCGATTACTATACAAATATATAGTGGCAGTTTTGTGATATTCTTCAATCGAACGATATCGTAAAATGTCAATAATATGTAATGGATCGTAAAGATATTTCTTTTCTACGGAATATATCACAGATGATTTCATATTCTTACATACTCTATCGACTTTGTATAGTAGGAATTAACGTATGAAATGTCTTCTCGGGTAGATGTGCACCGATGTCAGCCTTGACCTGGTCTCCGTGTGTATGAGCCAGTCCCCCGAAAACGTCAAATGGCAAAACCGTTCGAGCCACACCGAGTATCCGAACAATGTGACGTTGGCTGTATCCAATATCGGCTAAAGCGATAGCGCTAGTTACACCAGTTGCGTCAAGCGGCATTTTTTATGAGTAAGAGCAATAAAAGAAACCTAAGAGCTAATTAAATAATACTCAAACACTTTGCTTGATGAGTACAGGAAATGTGAACTACGTAATCCAACGGCAACAATGACAAATACCGGCTAAATCGCAAAAATACTTCGGTAACATAAATTTACGAAAAGAAACAAGGGTTCAAGGATTTAATGTATTGCTAAAGTACCTACTTGTCAAAAATATATACGGTGATAAACCATAGTCCATGTAAATAAACAGAGTGATAAAAAATTTACGTGGACGCTCAAATTGTGCGTGGAATGTATTGGTATAAAATAAGTCAAAAATAACATTTGATTAATTAAAATATGCAATTATGCTATCAGTCATCCATCTTCGTGGAAGCATATACTCGTATTTATTCCGTTGCGGTAAAATAATTGGGACAAGGATTCCATAAAGTCTGAGGACTAATTTTCGAATTGTTTTTCTTGAAGATAATTAAGTGCCATCATTTAAAATGTGGTAGTAGATCACTAAGATCCATTATTGAGTTGAAACAAGTAGTGATACGGTTAAAACTCCTTCAGTTCTGTGTCGATTCATTAAAACAATGCAAACTTTAACGTGCGATACCAGGAGCAGTTCGGAAAACGCATGCGTTACCCATTTTTCTAGTTGTTTCTTTATATATTACCGGTTTGGCGCAAAGGAGTCAATATCATGGGAATAGTTACTTCAAACTATGCTGATAATTTCTCCGCAGTATGTTTAGGATTGACGTCAACAATAGCTCATTTGCAAGGTGAAAATTTCCTCTGTGGAATCAGGCAAACAAGGCAGTCATGCTGCATTAGTGCCACGTCGGAACTCGTATGAATTCAAACATTACATGAATTTTATAATATTCATGCGGGGCTTCAAAGTGAATGCAAAATCAAGCAAAACGAAAACATTTGAATAACGTCAAATTTTTTTATTTCTAACCCTTAAGATTTTATTTGAAAAGCATGCTTATCTAAATATTGTACTAAAAATATTTTATTCCATTTGAAAGCAGCCAAAACTCTAGAGAGCATTAAGTAATTAGTAGCCTACTAAAAAAATAACGGATGGATTTACGTTCGTGAAAATCAATATTTTTTGCTTTTTGAAAACGACAATTGGCAAAATAGATTGATATTACTTTTGCTTTATCGTAACACTCAGGCGCTTAATATTTGTTGTATACACGGGTTGTATAACTACAATCATGTTATTATAAATAGTCAATTAGTTTCTGATGTGTCATTTGTTTACTCAGTGTCAAGTTTTCTCTATCATTTTAGTTACGTTCTACTCTACAATTTCGTACTACATAAGTTATACCTGAATATAAATGTTTTAACTGTTGGTGACTCCTACGCTGCGGATCAAGTTTGGATAATAGGATAATTTTAGGCGTCCTTTTTAATATAAGTTGTTATACATTACAAATTATGACAACTTGTGATAATCAACACAACACAATAAGTTTTCTTCAAATCCATAGAAAATTGGAGCATTAGAATTTTTTGCATTCTGCGTATTGAATATTAAAACATGCTAACCTTCACTAGAAATGCCTGGAGGTAAAATATTTTGGCTTTTCAGGTCACTAACCATAAAAAATTATCAGGAGAATAATTTTTCTGGTTAAAACCCAAAATATACGGTTGGCTTGAAAATTAGAAACAAGCTTTTATTTAAACCCGAATTTTACGTCAAAATGGACACGACTTCTTAACTTGATCATCCGTTTAGGTAAAAAACTGTAACATTGTTATTTTTTTTGTGATACCAGGCGCAAGATTTATTCGTCCCGTCAGGACGAAGAAATCTCGCGTCTGGTCTGTCCATTTCTGTCTGGTTGTCCAGCAGTTGCACTGCCATACAGAACTTTAAATCGCAAAGATCTGAAGGGCGCTGCCACTGCGCCCGTCAACCTGAGACATAAGTTGAAAAATTCCATGTACCTGTAATTTCAGCACCCTTACCCTTCAAACATACCTTTCATAATAATTATGATACTGATTTAATAAATTGTGAAAATAATACAAAGACGTTCAGATTTGCTTTACATTTAGATTACATTTTTTATATATCTACTTTTATGTAACAATGCCCATATAACGGATACAAGTAGTATTATTACCACGTATCCTCCCTGTAATTATCAGTGTTCTGTGTAAGTATCAGGATGTGAATACTGGCATATATCTGGATAGTAATACCAATATCTGAGCTTTATTAAATAAAGAAAAATAAAATTAATTCCTTTTGAAACATAAATTCTTTATCAGCACATTCTATAAATTTTATAACGACGTAGGGCAATTTTATTTTTTTGTTGAGTGAGGCATGTATGTTGTTAATTCTATTTACAGTAGAAAAACGTTTCTAAACCACTTTAGAAGACATTTTCCACTAACTGTACCTACTATGCTTAAAATTCACGCTGTAAATTGAATGTTTATGCTCTACATTTGAATTATTCTTTAGTTTATGGTAAACTATGTAGCGCGCTTAATATAATGGAGGTAAATCTACTCTCAAACGAGGTAGAGGGGCGAAAGAGGCTCTTGCGCAGCCAGTGTGACGCTAGAACTGGCGCAAGCCACTGTGCCCGTGCACACCAGCTACTTACAACATTGTACGGAGCCGCTTTCATCGAGTGAAAGTGCAGGATACAGTGAAACACGTGCAGAGTGAATCATTCTATTTAGTGAATTACGTATCATATTGTGATGAACTGAGTCTTTTATGACGCATATGTGATTTTAAGGATTGAATTCGAAATATTTGGTAAGACATTTTCATTGTTTTTTGTTCTGGACATTTTTACGACAATAATTTGATAATTTAAAGAAACTGTTCTTATCAAATTGCCTTTAATTAAATAATGAACTAATAAAATTACAATTAACTGCCATAACAGTTGACTACTCTGTATTTATTATTCAACATAACTTTTATAAGGGTACAACGTCATAAATACGCCTCTTGAAAATGATGTTTATGTCATTTAAGTAAAATTATATAGCTCATGACGGTATACTGTAAGTCCATTTCTCTTTTTCTATATTGATTTAAGGAATATCGTTAATTTTTAGAAAGTCTTCGAGTGATTGTACTTAACTCAATATGTCAAGTGACTGGCAGTTTTATTAACCGCATTTTCGTTTACTTCATGTTCGAGCTGGCGACAGAATAGTTATGTAGATACGGCGAGCGTGTTATATAAAGGAAGAACGCTATTTTTTCGATGACTTCCGTAGTCCAGCGATTAGCACTATGGGAGCTAGATTCAATTCCCGGTAAGATCCATTTGGGAAACAAGCTGTTAAAAATTGGTTCTGTTTTGCTTGTCCCGGAATCAATTAACTTTGGCCTAGCACAAGACAATCTCTAATTTGAGACCAGGCTATGTATGTGGTTATGTGGCACATTATTATTGGCCTAAAAAAAATATTTTTAATGTTTAAATGGGAGAGGAGGAATTCCTCAGTAATGGCACAGTTGGCAGGGGTCATTGACTCAGGTTCAAAACCGGCAAATAATACGAAAAATAAAATTCATCGTTAGCTAATTAAACTAAGCGCACTACGTGAACAAATGTCCATAGACTATGGTGACGGTCGTTCTTTTGACCTTTCGACTTCCATGTTTTAAAAAAAAGGTTAATTTAGTGAATAATATCTAATAGTTTAGAACAATGTACTTATTTTCAGCTGCTAAATCTGAAATCATACAATGCGGTCGGTACCGACGCCATATTGTGGATATACCATCATTAATAAACTAAAATTGTTTGTCAATAGTTTATGTCCAGGCAGTCCTGAGAATTAATTATCTTTATTTAATCAAATATGTTTATATTTGAAATATAAATCCCAAATAAATGATAAATCCCTTCCCTTAAATACCTTCAGTGAACACTTCGTCAACTTAATTTTTGGACCTGTTCTGTTTTTATAGTTTCTTTTTTTCACAAAATTCATTTTTTGTTTTATTTCGAATTTTGCTTTTTATCACAAAAATCGGGTAGCACAAGTAATAGTAAATAAATATGGCTGTTTACAAAAATAACAGAAACCAAAAAATAGAGTTGGCGTAGTGCTACAATGTGTGCTAGTGGAATATTTTCTTTAACTTTGAATGACACTACTGCTGAGGCACTTTCTTTCCAACAAAAAAAGAATCATCAAAATCGGTTCACAAATACTTAGTTATCGCGTAACATACATACAAAAAAATTACTGTCGAATTGATCACCTCCTACTTTTTTGAAGTCGGTTGATAATAACATGAAATAACAAAACAGGCACCTATTCAAAAGTTAAGAAAATGTCATGCATTACTTTTGACGTCAATAGCATAATTATAAATGGACGTTGGCATTTTGTTTCAGAATGAAAATTGTTAAACTTTTTTTACCAAACAACTGAGGAACTCTTCATTGTTTGTATTCTAATTCTTTAATATCTGCTTCTATATAATACAAGATGATAAAAGCTATGTCTGTTATTACTACTAGTTCTGCTTTTTTAAATCCATCAACATATTACGTAGGTACTTTAATGGAAGTAACAGCTCACAGTCGCTGACTTTCTTTCTATCTGTGTGACACCTCTCGACGCATTTTTTACAGGACGGTTGCTGCAATCGTAAACTTAAAAAAAAAAAAATTTATACTTTTCACGAATGCGTTCTTTTATTCTTTTTCACAGGAAAAATACAATAATGTTTTTTATCAACCTTTATATTGCTAAGGGTAGACGCTCTTCCTTAATTAAATGAAAATTGCAAAAGATTATAAAAGTTACAGGAATGCTTTGTTACTTCCAGCGTAGCGTTCATTAATTTATTTCGCAAACTTTTAAAAAATTTGCTTTAGAATCTTCAATAGCCAATATGCGTAGCCCATTACATATATTAAAAATAAAATAAAAAGACATTTATATTGTCAGATTGCAATTCATTCTTAACTTTAAAATAGAACAGTGCTGAAATTGAATAGGGTTTAGGTACCAATGACCGACATTTTACGGTACGTTATTATTATGATTTTTAAACAATAATAATAATAAAAATAATAATAATAATAACGTACACCATCATAGCCCCGTACCAAACTCATTTGATATAACTTTTTAACTGACCGCAAAAAAGGAGGAGGTTCTTAATTCGACTGTATTTTTTATTTATAATACCTAGTGACCGGACAAACTAGTCGTGCCCCTGAAAGTAAGCTACACGCCTGTCCATAACAGTTGTTCTCAGAGCTTTAAATCGCCAAGATCTGAGGGGCATTGCCACTGTGCCCGTCACCCTGAGACACAAGACAAGTCCCATGTGCCTGTAATTTCATCAGCACCCTTTAAAGCCGGAACACAGTAATGCTAACACTATTAATTGGCTGCAGAAATAGGTAATGTGGCAGTACTTTCCTGGAACAACTCTTTCAGAAGGAGGTCTACTTTTGTATGTATGTTACGCGATAACGTACACAAAAAATCATTAATTTGTAAACCGATTTTGATGAGCATATTTTTGTTGGAAAGAGGATATTTCGGTAGCGGTCCCATTTAAACTGAAAGAAAATATTCCACCTCTAAAGGTGGCAAACTAGGGGATGAATCCGATTTCGCGCACTCTCCGGTAACCAATTCCAATAAACCTTGGCAAATAGATGTAATTCTACGAACTTTTGAGGTCGGTTTTTTTAACATATATCAATAGTATAGTTTACTTGAGAGATATAATCCTCAAGAAAGATTACGCTGTAATGTGTTTCATAAAAAAGCTATTATAATTATTACTAAAAAAAACACAAGTACAATTTCTCTAAATCTCACGTAATGAACACCAAAAAGCAACTAATTAGCAAACCAGTAATCGACACTCACCATTAATTGACCTGAACATTACGGAGCGTGCTACTGTGATAGAAAATTGTGTGCTAAATCTTATTAGAAATTAATTTAAAAAGAGAAGTCGAACAGAGGCTTGTCGGTCACTAGTAACCCCACTACACTATTACGAGAAACCCTAATAAATTGTGATATATAATAATACCTATTATACTTGAGAATACTCTGTTTCTGTTTCTTGAGTAAACGCTGCTTCTTCAAAGAATTTTAGAGTTAAATTCATTGTGCTTTGTAATTTTATTGTTTATAACTTCCCTTGTTTGTACATTCCAAACAAATGAAAAGTTTTCCATCTCAAGCTTCTATTAACATAACAATTATTACATTATCAAAAGTAGTCAGAAGATTAGTAATTTACATAACAGTTAATGTACTTCTAGTTTAAGAATTTTTTGATAAAATTTTTAAACTATCCATTTTACCTACGGTTGCACGAATGGAAAATGTATACAAATCTCTAATACGTTCTCTACTTATTTTTTAATGTTTTCTGAGATACTCAATAACCTAAATGAGAACTTACTTGTAACATGTATAATATAACGCACACACTCATAGTCCCGCACTAAGGAAACCCTGTGTCGCGGGTGCCACGGACACAGACATAGACAACCACAAATTACACCCAAACCCACGAGGGAAAGTAATGTAGACCATACAAATATTTCTTCCGGGCCCGGGAAACGAACCCGGGACCTCTGCGTGGCAAACCAGTAAGGTAACCGTTCGGCCACGGAGGCAATTAACCTGTCCGTGAATAAAAAAAATTACACACTTTCTTGTATTAGATTGTTAGTGGTAGTACAGTACGAACGACGTCATTCGATTAACATTATTACGTGTCAGTTCACCTGCAAAGGTTCCTTTCGAGTACAACCGGATTTGAATTACATACATGTTTTGAATATTGACATGTTACACAATCATTTTGATGGAATATTTTACATCCTTTTAATATCACGCAATAAGGTACGTGTCCGCAACTACACTTTGTTCACCAGAAAAGTTACAATAAAAAATAAAGGCTGTCTGAAACTTTCTTGCTAAACGCGACAGTTAAAGTTAATGCCCACTTTGGACTTAAAGGTGAACAAGATTCCGAGCAATAATCGTATTGCTATTATATTCTCAGACATTCCGATATATCCGTTCTTTGGATGCCGACACGACGATTGCTGTACCGGTTTTATAGGTAAATATTTATTGATTCAGCTATTTGGAGATAGACACTAAACAGCGGGAAAGACGGATAGACTTAGCATGAACACGAATATTCAAAAGCCGCGATAGTAGAGAAATTGAATCTAGTCAAGAGAAGTTAACTTCGGCGAAATACTATGAGAGTGCGCGATAATTGTTCTAACCTCTATAAAGATAGTAACCAGGCGTCATTTGAGGCTAGTGATAGCTTTGGAAAGACATAAGTTACTATTTATATTTATATTTACTATACTGTTTATTTTTATTCTCTTGCTAGCTGATGTGTCATGTAAGGCACCGTATAAACGTTTCAGTTTGCTTGTCAAATTTGCCCTTCAAACTTCATGTTTTCTTTTAACAACGCCACAAAGGGTCAAATCAAAAGTTAAACAATTTTGACAAATTTGCCTGTACTTCAGGCACAGCCGTCTCCTTGTTATAGTCCTATTGTACCATAACGAATACTCTTCTCAGTCGTATTCTTCATTGCTGAAATTGCTCGAAAGGTGTGAATATTTACGGATTTAATGGCGGATTTTTTTAAACAGATTACCAGTTACTCTTTCTATACATAATACAACTCGAAGTAAAATTTTGTAAAAGGCATAGACGCATGCATCCACAATGTATTAGACATAAAATAAAGACGACAACTGACTTTTTGTTTTAAAC